TCTCACCCACAGAGAAGCAAAGACAAGCATTACATCCATCTTCTCCTCAGAAACCATGCGAGTAAGAAGCGAGTGGAATGAAATGTTTAAAGTGTTGAGGGGAAAACAATCTCACCAAACTTGAACTTAGTATCCTGTAAAATTATCTTTCAAAAGCAAGGGAGAAATAAAGACTTTCTCAGACAAACAACAATTAGGGAATTTGTCAAGTAGACTCGCCTTGCAAGAAATGCTAAAAGAAGCTGTTCAGAAAGATGGAAAATGATATAGGCCAGAAACTCGGGTCTGCATAAAGAAAGGAAGAGCATTAAAGAAGGAATAAGTGAAGGGAAAATAAAAATTTTTTCTTAGTTATCTAACATATAACAGTTCAAAATAAAAATAGTCACAGTGTACCACTGGTTATAAATTATGTATAAGTGAAAAGAATGACATTAAGGGATGAGAGGGAGGAATTAGAAATACTTTATTATTATAAGGTACTTGCACTACCCATGAAGTGAGTGGTACAGTGTTATTTGAAAGTGGACTTGGATTAGTTGTAACTTTATATTGGAAACTCTAGGGCAGCCACTAAAAAAAAAAAAGTATAATGACATGCTGAGAGAGAAAATGAAATCATATAAAATGCTCAATTATAACAACACACACACACACACACACAAAGCAGATAGGGGTGGAAGACAACAATAGGAACAGAGAACAAGGGCAACAAGAAAGGGTTCTCAGAACCCTTTGGTTGTAGCAGGCACCAGGAATCTGTCTCCCCATCTAAATAACAACTGTGCTGGCAGAATCTGATGTAACTGTTTTGGAATTGTGGAATCTATTGAAGGTTTCTGACTTTCAGGGAAATGCATGGATGGTAAATTGTGGCTAATTTTGGTCAGTTTCATCACTCAGCACAGTAGCAGCTACCCACCCCTGCTTTAAGCCACCTGACAGGCAGCTGTGCCAGTGTCCTTGGAGCAGCCTGCACACAGCTTGCTGAAGCCAGGGTGAGCACAAAGGACCCTGTCCCCCAAATACCAGGGATCTCTGCTCTGATCACTGATTGCTGCCTCTGATCAGAGAGGTGTAGACAAAAAGGCTGGTGGCTAATTTTGCTGCACCTCCCATAACTGTTCGAAGTCCCTCCACCTCCAGCTGAAGTGACTTTAAGGGGATTTAAAGGGATAATGCCCTTTTCCCCTTCTCTTTATTTTTCTCTTTTTCACCTTTTGGGGGTCACACATGAAAGAGTAGGAGGTTCAAAAGGAGCTGCATATACAAGGAACATTATAAAGTGACCATTCATACCCAGGGAAAGGCACAGACTCAGAAAAGACCTGAGAAGACCTTAAGTTTACATCTTGGCATATTCTTGACATAGAGGCAACCTACAACAATATAAATACGTACATACATAAATTTAAAACATTTAAAAACATCAAACCCTGGGGAAGGAGGAGAATCTGATTTCTGGAGTTACCACATTATTAGATTAAAATGTCTACTTTTGAATCTGTCCCTGAGAAAGAACTAATGGCAGATCTAACAGACAAAGACTTTAAAACAACTGTCTTAAAGACGCTCAAAGAACTAAAGGAAGATGGGGACAAAACCAAAAAGAACAATGTACGAACAAAATGGAAACACCAATAAAGACACTGAACACCTAAAACAAAGCAAACAAAAAAGTTCTGTAGCTATATTTTAATAATTGAAATGGAAATTTTTATTAAAGGGATTAAAAGGCAGGTTTAAGCAGGCAAAAGAGTCAATTAACTTAAAGAAATTATCAATCTGAGGAACAGAAAGAAAAAGATTGAAGAAAAATGAACAGCACTAAGGGACCTATGGGACAGCATCAAACAGAGCAACATGCAAATTTTGGGAGTCCCAGAAAAAAGAGAAAAGGGGAGAATAAAACACTTGAAGAAGTAATGGCTGAAAACTACTCAAATTTGATGAAAGACATGAATATAAACATCTAAAATATAAACTCCAAGTAAGATAAACTCAAAGGGATCCACACCAAGACACATTATAATCAAATTTTCAAAGGACAAGCACAAAGAGACAATCTTCAAAGAGGCAAGAAGTAAATCATCACATACAAGGGATCCTCATTAAAACTACTAGCAGATTTCATCAGAAAATTTGGCTACATCATATGTTAGGCCAGAAACTGTCATACAGATTTTAAAAGATAACTATTCTAAAAAGTAACTTATCCAACCACAACAAGAAGTCAGAAATCAATAACAAAAGGAAAACTTGGAAATTCACAAATTTGTAGATATCAAACAACACACTTTAAACAATCAATAAATCAAAAAAGTAATCACAAAGTGAATTAGAAATACTTAGAGATAAATAAAAAAGAAAATACAACATACCAAAACTTATGGGACACAACAAAGCAGTACAAAGGGTGAATTCCACAGCTATAAATGCTTACACTGAAAACCAAGAAAGATTGCAAATTGACAACCTAATTTATAAATTAAGGAACTAGAATAAACTAAACCCAAAACTTGAAGAAAGAAGGAAATAATAAAGATTAGAGCAGAGATAACAAAATAGAGAATAGAAAAAAAATGGAAAAACATCAATGAAAGCAAGAGTTGGTTCTCTGAAAAGATCAACAGAATTGACAAACCTTTAGCTCGATGGACTAAGAATAAAAAGAGAGAAGACTCAAATTACTAAAAAATTAGAAATAAAAGTAAGGTTGTTAATACTGATCCTATAGAAATAAAAAGGATTATAAGAGAGTATACTGGACAATTGTACACCCATAAATTGGGTAAGCTAGATGAAATGAACAAATTCATAAAAATACAAAACCTACCAAAACTAAATCACGAAGAAATAGAAAATATGAATAGACCTATAACTACTGAGGAGATTAAGTAGGTAATCAAAAATCTCCTGACAAAGAAGACCTCTAGACCTGGTGGCTTCACTGTTGAATTCTATCAAACATTTAAAGATGAATTAATATTAATCTTTCTCAAACTTTCCCCAAAAAATTGAAGAGGGGGGAATACTTCCTAACTCATTCTATGAGACTACCATTACCCTGACAGAAAAGACAAAGACACTACAAGAAAACTACAGACCAATATCCCTTATCAAATGGAAATTACAAAAGCAATTTCATTTAAAATGGCATCAAAAAGAATAAAATACTTAGGAATTAATTTAACCAAGGAAGTGAAAGTACAATGAAAACTATAAAACATTGCTAAAAGAAATTAAAGAAGATGTAAAAAAGGGAACACATACCCACATTCATGAAATGGAAGACTTAATATTGTTAAGATGTCAATACTACCCAAAGTGATCTACAGAGTCAATGCAATCCCTATCAATATCCCAAAGATATTTTTTGCAGAAACAGAAATACCCATCCTAAAATTCATATGGAATTTCAAGGGACACCTGACTAGCCAAAACAATCTTGAAAAAGAAGAACAAAACGGAAAGACTCATACCTCCTGATTTCAAAATATCCAACAAAGGTATAGTCACCAAAACAGTGTGGTACCGGCATAAAGACAGACATGTAAACCAATGGGATAGAACAGAGAGACCAGAAATAAACCTCTATATATATGGTTGAATGGTTTTTGACAAAGGTGCCAAGACCATTCAATGGGGAAAAGACAGTGTTTTCAACAAATGTTGCTGGGAAAACTGGATATCCACATGCAAAAGAATGAAGTTGATCTCTAACACCGTACACAAAAACAAACTCAAAAGAAATCAAAGGCCTAAATGTAAGACCCAAAACTATAAAACTCTTAGAAGAAAACATAGGACAAAAGCTTCACAACACTGGATTTAGCAATAATTACTTGTATAGAACACCAAAGATACAGGCAACAAAAGAAAAACAGACAAATTAGACTTCATGAAAATTTTAAAATTCTGTCTCTCTTCCATCTGGAAGTTCATCTGTATCCTTTATCATATCCTTTTATAATTAACTGGTAGGCAATAAATAAACTGTATCCCTAAGTTCTGTGAGCCACTCTAGCAAATTATCAAACACAATGACAGAGTCATGGGAACCTCTGATTTACAGCTCATGAGTCAGAAGCACAGGTGACAACCGGACTTGCAATTGGTGTGAAGTGGGGTGGGGGCAGTCTTGAGGGACTGAGCCTTTAACCAGTGGAATTTGCTGTTACCTCCAGGTAGACAGTGTCAGAATTGAGTTAAATTGTAGGACATGCAGCTGGTATTGCAGAGGACTGCTTGGTGAGGGAAAACCCCCCACATCTGCTGTCAGAAGTGCTGGGAGTGTGGCAGTACCGAGAGTTAAGGAGACACACAGGAGGGGACCTTGGCTTTTCCCCACTCAAAATGACAAAAGGACTCTCGGAATATCAGGAAAGAAGAACGACTGAAAGAGCAAAAACGTGGGTAAATACAATAGGCTATTTTTTCCTCTTCTTCAGTTTTTTGTTTTTGTTTTTTTTTTGCGGTACGCGGGTAGCCCTGCATATTATTTTTTATTAGGTCAGACTAGAAGCCCTGCCTCCCTAATTTGCTAGTTTAAATGAATATTTAAAGTAGTTTTAAACTAAGATATGTATGTAAAGTTCCTATCACCATAATTGGTATATATGACGTGCTCAATAAATTAAATCTATAATTATTTGTTATTTGTAAATAAAGAAATGTAAGGTTGGCCTTTCCTTTAAAAAAAAAAGAAAGTGACAATCTAAAGTATGAGGGGTTGAGCGCTTCCCTGGTGGCACAGTGGTTGAGAGTCCGCCTACCGATTCAGGGGACACGGGTTCATGCCCCAGTCCGGGAAGATCCCACATGCCGTGGAGAGGCTGGGCCTGTGAGCCATGGCCACTGAGACTGCGCATCCGGAGCCTGTGCTCCACAACGGGAGAGGCCACAGCAGTGAGAGGCCCACGTACCGCCAAAAAAAAAAAAAAAAAAAA